GCTCTGGTGCTGGCTGTGCACCGTAGCTCAGGGGTGCAGCGTCGCACCCAGAGCCTCTCTGGTGCAGCACATCACCCAGACAGACGTAGGGACAGCCCGAGAGATGATGGGGAGCGCGAGGCTGAGCAGTGCCCGGCTCCTCTCAGCTGTGGGAGCAGCACGGTCGTCCACATTAAACATGCATCTAGGTCACCATCAGCTCATCGGTCCGGCCTCTACAATTCAATTTGTGGCTGAAAATACTTCCTAAGCTGTTGTTCCTTTTTTTGAGAAATAACTATACCAGAGAGCTGCAAATGAATGTTTCTCATTTAGCCCGTTGTCTGCGGCTGCACAGATGCTCTGATCTGTGACCATGGTTGGTTTGAGGTTTGAAATAGCCCCAGCATCAGCAGGGCACGCTGAGGGCTTTGGTCTGGCCCAGCGTGAGGCTGTGGGCTTGAATTCTGCGTCCCTCCGTCGCTCTCATCCAGGCCTGATCCTGCAGCACTGGCCCCATCGCCCCTGCTCTGCGTAGCCCCGCGGGCTTGGGCTGAATCAAACGCATGAGCTCCGCGTCTCTGTTCTCGCCCAGGGCTTTTGCTCTGGCCCCTCACCAGCTCTGCCGTTCCTGGTGTAAACGCAGGGCCTGGAGGGTGACTCCAGATTGCCCCCAGCTTCTGCAGAACCAGAGCCTGCTGTCGCCCCTGCTTGCTTTTCAACCGTCTTGTTTAATACCTTTTTAATTGCGCATGAAATATCAAACACTGGTACCTGGTCAGTCGACTGGATGTGCTTTTCGTGCGTTGTGCGTTCTCCCGTGGCAGAATCGGGTCGATGCAACCTTCCCCATCGCTCTCCGCGGCACAAATGGGTCAGCATCGCTCCATCAGCCGGACCTGGGTCCATCCCAGTGCACAGCCAGGACTGCCTGGTCCCCACACGAGCGGCTGGTTCCCATCTTTTAGCTCCCTCGGGAGCTTATCGGCTGTATTTTCCCCATTTGTCGGTCGCACCCGGGGATTTTTGCTCTGTGCACGCCTCCCCTGCCTTTCCCAGGCTCTCTGTCCCCGTATGTGACACAGCAGATGACAGCGGCCCGTCTCGACCCCCTGCGTCAGGGCACAGGCAGCGTATGGGGCTGGAGGCGTGCGAACATCCCGCCACGGGGACGAGGAGGGGGGGTTTGCGTTACAGCCCTGAAAGCTCCAGTCGCTGGGAGCTGTAAACAGCTCTGGCAGATTTCCTGAGTCGGCAATCCCTCTGTGCCCGCCGGCTCAGTCCCGACGCTCCGGCCCTGCGCCTTCAGGAGGTACCCGGGGACGCGGGGACAGCCACGACCGAGGTCTGCAGGAGGGCACCCTCCCTGCTGCTCCCCCAAAACTTGGCTGCCGTCATCCTTCGCTCCCCCCCGGCCAGGCACCCTGCCATGGCAG